CACACATACTGGTACCTGTACTGCAACATAGCAACTAGCTTGTGAACATATAGGCCTCCTTCACTACAGGAACATAACAACATGTAATATAAAGGTGCCAGCCATAAGTTTTCTCTGCTGCCACACCAGCATTTTCCACAGTAGCCCTGAGGCCATAATGCAAAGCAAGTACATGCAAATAGATACAACACGTACAACTGGTGAAACATGTTCATCAAACTGAAAACACATGTGTGACAAAAAGAAAACAAATACAACACAACCAAATAATCACAACATGTGTTACATCTGCCCCTGGGACTTCTTCCACCATGCTCTCTACCTCTAGTTCTAGTTCACGTTCAACACAACCACATACTCACAACATAACCAAATACTCACAACATAACCACATACTCACAACATAACCACATACTCACAACATAACCAAATACTCACAACATAACCAAATACTCACATCACAACCACATACTCACAACACAACCAAAATACTCACAACATAACCAAATACTCACAATATAACCAACAGACACATGGACACAATGCATTTTTATTTGAATGTTATATTTTGGGGTGATGAGCGTTAAACACTCCCAACACAACTCTCTCATGATTGCATCATTGGCTTTCGAGAGATGCCAGTTCTCACACCCATCACAAAATAAGGTTTATCAAAACGCAAATGTTTTTCAGGATCACCTCGATTCCTGATGTATAAACACAGGATTCCATGAATGTAAAATGAAATACCCATAAAGGAAGGAATATGCTCACACAGCGCTTCTATTTGTGTGTGTAAATGTTGGCGTGGTGTCTGTGTGTGTTGTGCTTGGCGAGACAGGCTGACGAATTATCCCCCATTGAGACGAGGTAATGAGCAATTTGAAACGCTGCCATAATTCCGCAGCGGCTTTTTGCATTTGGATTTCAGTCTGATCTGCAAAGCTGGATATGAAAACAAAACATCAACAGGGAAATTTCTCCCCCTGCTACTGCAGCAGTAGCTCGCACACGGCAGAGAGACGAGGGAAGGCTACTCAGGTACAGGAACATTATTTCAGCTCAAACACAGCGGGAGAAGAAGCTGAGCGTGCAGTTCTGGCCGTCTCCCGGCAAGAGCTGCGTATTGTTATGGAAATGAGAAGCGCATGTCACTGACAGAGGAGCAGAGCTGAGAGTGAATCCTTTGTCCCTCTGGGGCCACAGAGGAAGAGAGCAAATTATATTGTAATATATACATTATAATAACTTATGATCTGATAAGTCGTCAGCAATGTCACAGAGATATGTCTTTGCATGTGGCGATAGACATGAGATGTGTTTATCCTAGTTTAGCAAAGAGACTGGAGGGGGGTACATCCTGGACAGGTCCATCAGATGGTCCATCAGATGGTAAACAGGCAGTCACACCTACAAGCAAATTTACTAAATTGTGAGTGTTGTGACTGTGGGAGGAAGACAGAGTGCAAACTCCACAGAGAACAGTGCCACCTACATGTCAAAAATTGTTTTGGCCCAGATTGGGCCCACATCCAGTTCTTTTTGCCAGATCTGGGCCACAAGAAATGTATAGCAATACCACGTATCAACCAAATGTGCCCGAATTAGTTTGTGCAATTTGGGCCATATTCACCATTTACCACATGGGCCCCTTTAGGTTATTTCTTTTATTTATAAAACACATCTCCCAGAAGCTATGATGTAACCAGTGAAAACCTCTCCACTGTCCTGTCACTAGTCATTTTTATTAGTCACTCACATGTACTAACAATACTACCAATAAATAAGACTTTTCTAAACAATGTGCTTTAACACGTTTTTTTTTTATATACTCAATTGCAGGTGGTGTGTGTGATTTGTGTGAAATCCTTGTTATCCTGAAGAAGCTGTCTTCTCCAGGGTTGTTTTTGTGTTATTGGTTAAAGGACTCCGTACATTTCTTAGATTACAAACATAGAAAGAAGGGATAGTTGGGTCTGACCCTGCATGACTAACCTACCAGTCACCTCAGGCCTTCTTTCACTTTATCAATATCATGTTTTCCCTTCCATGAATACCAGAGTCTGCCTCTACCTCGTTCACATATTTTCTCTGACTGAATCTTCTTCCTGTTTCTTTGTGTAGAGCCTCACACTAAACAATAAGAGGACAAGTGGAGTGTGTATTGTATTTTATAAATGTTCTGAAAAGCATTCAACGCCTCTTTCCTGACGTGATGTCTGTGGCTATTCAACATGCAACACCAATTAATTTAAAGGCAGTTTGGGAGACTTTCTTTCAGCCTCTTTCTGAAAGTTTACTAAATCTGTCAAAATTTGTATTTACAACATGAAGGAAAAATGTTTCTTATCCACCGCGGCTCTGATAAACCTTGTATGAGATTGCTGCAACTGATGAAACTCACAGATACACAGCATTATCTCTGCCTGCTCGCAGGTTTGAAGCCAGCCTCTGAGGGATTAGAACATCATTACTGCCCTTCACGACTCCATCAAAAACATCCCACTGAGTGCTGGATCAAGAGGGAGGAAGCTGAACACAAAAATGATTAGGGAGTAGCTGTTTATAGAAGGATGTTGTGAATGCTGTAAATCCAGCAAGTGAACCATATTAATTGCTCAACCAGCAGATGTTTCTAGGATGTGGCATGCTCTCCATAGTCCACTTCATCAAGCTCCTGGGGCTAAATGCACTGTGTTAGACTCCAGTGCATTCTCTGCTTTTTCTAGCGTTTGCTGTGCTCTAATGAAATGCATGGAAACCACAGGCTCTTAAAAACACTCTTCACGAGAATCAGGAACACCATTGTTCTTTCTACTTATCATCCACGTCCACAATATTTTTTTTACTCCAGGATCAATCTTTGACAGCCGTACAAATAATTTTGTAATCATCATTTGTAAATGGAAGGCAATGACAATCTATTTCCTCATTTCCTTTCCTGAGTCTGAGATTTGATGGGATATCATCACGGGATATCATGGTCCCCTGGGGATGATAGCATTAAGAACAAAAAATACTTGAAAAATTAGTATTTACCAGACCTCTGTAGCCCCCTCATCTATATACTATAGCAGGTCGTGGCTACATTATCATTACATTTGAATATCTCAGTGGCGGATATGGAATTTTCGAAATCAGGAGCATTTTATGGGCCACGATTTTAACAGAGGGCCCAATTATTATATGTCCTACACCCATGCAGACTTCCTGAATTCAGTAAGGTGCACGCTCAGTACTGGTTGTTAGCCCTATTGCTTTGAGCAAAATCACACATCATTTAATATATTTTGAAAATTGTTCCTTGTTCAAGATCATTGTGTACTTCAAAAAATTGAAATTGTCATATATTATCAGTGTTAGTAAAGCTGTCTGCAGCTGCCTCCACCGACGAAGTTGTCAGTGTGTTGTGGAAAATCACGTGAGCTTTGCAGCGGAATCGTTACGTTACTTCTTGCCTCTGTCTGCTCCACCCAGCTGCTCCACCTCTCGTCTGAATGAGGAGGATTTGTTGGTGTTGTGAACGAGTCTGTGCAGAGAACCTGCGTCTGTGCATGTGTGAAAGGCAAACTGCGGGCAAGGTCTGGACAGCAGGTCATATCTGAATATGGCTTAATGGACTTTAAGACTATACTGGCAGGACAGGGGAACTTCAGGGGCCAATCAGATTTCAGCTGGGGCCAGTGCCCCCCTGGTGTGGCCCCTGGAATATCTGACTGAACTGTCAGGGATGGACACAGTTAAATGAGAAAATACAGTGTTGAATAAAAAAGATATAATTCTTAGTTGCTGTTTGTTTTCGATGCTCCCAGGGCAGTTTGTCAGATCTCTGTTATTAATGTTTGCTCTCTCATTAACAGTGACTACTTTATATCCCTAACCGTATTCATACCATGCACAAATATATTTAATTTTTCCGAGAGCTGACAACAGAGATTTAGATCTTC